AAAATAAAATGAAACAAATAAAAACGAGCGAGAGAGAAATAACTTCATCGAATTGGTTAAACAATTATAATAAAGAGTATATTATCACTTAATTTTCTACGGTTTTGACTGATTCGACAAAAAAAAAAAAAAAAAAAAAAAAAGGAACAAAAATAAAAAAAAAACAATAACAACGAGAAAGTATAAAACCAACATCGTCGTCTCCTTTGGTTTATTTTTCTTTTTTTTTTTTGTACTGATCGATTAAACTCCCTTTCAACGCGTTTCAACGGACAATAAAAGTAATAATTGGTTTCAACGCGCATCATATATCAACTCTGCTGCTGCTGCTGCTGTTGCTGCTTCTGCTGCTGCTGCTGTTGCTGCTGCTGCTGACTCCTCTCACCTTAATTAATATATCCTTAATTTAATTACATCTCATTTTTTCGAACTCTTGATTCACGAAGAGGATTATAAATTCAATATAATTTTCTCTAGATCATTTGAACTCGTGAGAATTTATGTATAAATCTTTCTATATATATATATATATATATGTATATTTACGTCGTTCGGCTATTCATTGAATAATAAAGCCTATCGATGATGATGATGATGATGATGATAATGATTATGATGATGATTATGATGATGAAGAAGTCGTCTATCGTTAGGAAAATTTATAAAGATAATATTGTATGTACTAAGAATTCTGTAAGGTACTGAATATAAGCTCTAACTATTATAAATATTCTTTTCTTCTTTTTTTTTTTGTTTTTGTTCTTTTTTTTTGTTTATTTCTTTCTCTATCTTTCTTTCTTTTTCGAGTTTATATTATGAAATGCTTGCAATTCGATTGTACTTTGCGGTCTAGTTATTATTAAAACGGTATAGTATTATCACTTCACAGCGAGTACAGAGTGTAGAAAGTGTGTCCTGTGTGTGTGGGTGTGTGTGTAGGTGTGTGTTTGTCGTGTGTATATATATATATAACTCGTATTTTTTTTTTTTTTAATCTATAAGACTTAAGATGAATTGTGCATATGTATTTTATTGTATTGATGATATTGAAAGAATTGCCAATTATTCTTTCTTTCTTTTTTGCTTTTTTCTCTCGTTTTTTTTTCTCTTTTTTTTAACTGACAAAGATGTTTTTGGTCCTTCTCCGTTAGACAAGGTCAAAAGAATTCCAATTGAAAAATATAATTTGAAAATAAATTATACGACGTTATTACAGTAACGTATAAAAAAACTTAATTTGACGCAAATCTAATAAAACATTACATATGTCATGGAGAAATGTTGCCATTAAATCTATATAAATAAATTATAATATCCCAGAGTGCGTATTATTAGATTTTTAATATTTCTTTAAAGTTATTTATTTTAAAGTTAGGAGGCCTTTTATATCTTTTTTTTTTTTTTTTATTTATTTATTTATTTATTTTATTTTTTATTGTACGCGCGCTATCTGAGATATTTCAATTTATATAATAATGAAATCAACAATGTTTTACGTTCGCAAATCTAACACAGCATAAAATCATAACAAAAACTTCTTGCACGATGTCTTTATGTTTTCTTTTCGTTTTTTTTTCCTTCCCTTGAGACTTTTTTTTAACGTGTATTAATCAAAGCACAGCCAGTAAAAAATAACGTGAGTACATACACAAATGTCAAATGATCGAGCTGAGATCTTTAGACAATTTTCTATTAGAGGAAGATTATTAAGAGTATCATATTGTTTACGTTAAAAATATAATAACACAAGATACTCCGACGTGATACTATACAAATGTCATCCAAATATTTTTACAGCACTTGATTATTTTACATGGATTAAAAAGACAAAAAAAAAAAAAAAAAAGTAGATTATAATTTTGTTTAAATAATGGCAATAATATACACGGCATTAATTATATTAATAAATTAATAGGATTAAAATCTTTGGTTCATAGTTCGTTCGTACGTATGATGATTTAGAGAAAGGTTCATTCATATATCCCCATTAATAATAACTGCAGTAAAAGGAGTTGAGTAAAAGTTAACTAGATATCACTTGTCATGAATAATACGAGCATTGAAAATAGCATAAGAAAGTTCATGCTCTCTTCGAATCTTACATTCGGTAAATAGCATGCATCTTTCTCTCTCTCTCTCTCTTTCTCACTTCTTAATAATTTCTCGTCTAAAAATTTCTATTTTACATTCACCGGTAACAGTCTTCGATTTGTTCTTTCTTTCTTTTTTTTTTTCATTTTTTTTTTTTTAATATTCAATTTTATATATATAATATTGTAATAATAAAATTCTTTGCATCTTTGCAAATTATTTCACCAAATCCTATACTCTAACACCGGTGTCTCCCTATCGTCTTTCGACTTTAACAGTGTATAAAATGAATGCAATAACATCGTGTCACATTTGGTTCAGCCTGTAGAAATAAGGAAATGTGAAATTATTTTGTTTAAAACAAAAACAAAATAAAACAAAAATAAAAAACAAATGTTGATTAATATATAATAATTCATTCTCACCGTTTTTATGAAGCTTTCATCCAAAATACACACGGAATGTACAACAGATTAACATATACTAGAGATTCCATGAGTCAAACTTTTCTCAAGAACAATGTGGAAGTCGCTAAGCGGTTCAAGAATATGTATAAGAAACGTCAAGAGATTAGGATTTCTCAAAAACGAATTCTCCTCGTACATATCCGACGTAGAACGTGCCTCGCTCATCGGACATAACATTGGATGAAGCAATTGCTCTCTAAAATAATATTAGAGGTCAAATAAAATAATAATTATTAAAATAATATCTATTTATAAAAAAAAAAATAAAAAAGAAAAAAAAATTGTATATATATATATATCCTATGTAATTTATATAAGATTCATCTATACCTTGCTGCCAAACAAATGAACAACTGAAACTTTCCGTCTTTTCCTAAAGTTTGACTAAATATATTAATCTGATCAATAAGATGACTGTAACATCTCAAGATAGTAAACCTCTGATTACTCTGTATTTTTCTACTCCTATTTAATCTCTGTGAGTATTCGTCCATTTCTTCTAATAAAGATATCTCAAAGTTTTCTTTTACTCGTACTACAATTTCAATTGAATTAACAATTATTACATTAATCGTGAAATACTTATTTCAACAACAATAATAACAATAACAATAACAACAACAAAAGAAAGGAAGAAAAAGAAAAGAAAAGAAATCAACTTACAAAGATAGTCCCAAACATAAAAATTTCTACCAAATATTCTTTGATTTTTAAAACCGAATAAAAAGATTTGTTCAAGGGAAGGTACGAGTCCACCCTCCCCACAAAGTAAGGCAGTTAGAGAACTATCTTGGCACTCTCTTCTGTAATAATATTTGACAATCGCATTTACAGCTTCTCCTAAAATAATATTTTTTAAAATAAATATATTTTGCAGTTTAATTTATTTATACATTTTATTATAGAGGAAAAAAAAATCTTTTTTTCTTCATTTGTGGGAGATATACGTTCACTTGTGCTTACCAAGCATATGTTGCAATTCAACTTCGGATAGTATAGGTCGTCTGGGTATACTTGGAGATCTACATCTTGGAGGAGTCGAACACGATTCTACCAATTCTTCATTATCAATACTACTTGGTACTAAAGCACCTACTAGCAATCTTTCAGTAGATCCATCGTCTATGCCCTTACCAAGCCATCGCCCACAAGGGAATTTAAATGTATGCCCTGTAACTTCGTTTCTTACCACAACGTGTTCTACCATCCATTTAGGAGAAAGACCAGTATTGTCATGACCAATCCGCAAAGTCGATAGGACACCTAAATTTTTATGCTAAAACATAAATTAATAAAATATATAAACTACATACATCCATATATATGTACGTATATATTATTATAAATTATCAAAATTATTGCCAAGTGATACCTACGTGAAATACAAATTCTAGAGCTGCTTTAGGAATTGGAACAGGATTAGTCTCGCACAATGTACCAGATATAGCGATCCAACTATTGGCAGAAGTTGTAGCTGCGCTTGCCTTACGACTTGGAAATATTACAACCCTATATGGTAACTTAGTAGTAGGATAATTATTTGTAAAGCAAAAATAATCGACCGCATTTAACGTCAATAAATGATATAAAAACTGTTCCTTTTCTTCCTCACAGCGTAAAAATGCTGATCGTTTATATTGACTCCTTAAAAAAAAAAAAAAATAATAATAATAATAAAAAAAGATTACGATAAAAATTAATAAAAATAATTTACACACACACATATATACATATATATACATATATATATTTTTTTCCGAATTATTTGTAAACAACATACCTTAAAAGCGCTGTATCAGATAGGAGTGTTTTTAAATGTCGAGATAATAACTTCTTTTCTAATGCTAATCTCACCCATGCTCTGGCATATCCAATGTGCGTTTTAATATCTGTCATTGCTTGGATATTTCGAATATCAAAAGTCAATGATTCAGGTAAAGGTCGCAAATGCTCCGGTCCAATAGCTCTTCTTTCCCCAGGAGATTTGTGCTTATCCGTTCCTCTTGTTGGAGAGACATCAGTCTCCAATGCCAGTTTTGATAAATCTAACAATTATTAATAAATTTCTGTTACTATATATATAAATGTAGATATAAAAATGGCACAAGGAACAAAAAAAATTGAAAAAAAAAATAGAAAAAAAAATAGAAAAAAAAATAGAAAAAAGAAAGAAACATGATTATTCTTAAAACAAAAAATGAAACCAGCACTCCTTTTTTAAAAACTACATTACTTTTATTACTATTCCATTATATAAGGTGATGTGTTAATTTTAATCTTAATCATAGATGTATTGTAGGAATATAATTTACAAGCAACATGCGCCTCATGGGACAAAGACTTTATATATTGATCGATAAAAAAAAAAATAATTTAATGAATACAGGATACAGAAACATCATGCTGCAACTAATATATAAAACACTATTACTTTTTAAAATGATACACGACACGACAAGCTATACGTAAAAGGATAAGCTAATAAAGTATACAGCTAACGAATGATAAATAAATGATAGCTTAAGAATAGCACATACGCTTTAAAATCACAATGGCAATTAAAAAAGAACATGCATCAACAAGAACACAAAAAAAAATATATATATATATATATATATATATATACATTTAACAAAATTATTAAATAACAAATATTTTAGAAAGGAAAGATATATCGTCTGAAAATAATTAAATTCAAAAGGATAATTAGTATTGTTAGTCAAACTCGAATATTCTTTACGGCAAGCCAATAACAAGGCTTACCATTAAAATTCTCCTTGATATAGGAAGCAATCTCAAAAATATTTCTGCTCTTTAAGGATGCGATTAAACGATCCGGTAACCCAAAAAGTTTATTTGGCGATTTCTTGGGTACTGATAAAATAAAATTAAAATTAGATAAAAAAAAAAAATAAAAAGGAAAACATAGCGAAATACAAAAAGTAAGAAGCTGCTGGTAAATTAATTGAAAAAAATATCTCGAGGAATAAAACATTGATTTTGTATAAGCGGAAATTCATCGGTTGCACGAAAAAAAAAAGAAGATAAAAAAAAAAAGAAAAAGAATCAAAATGTGTGCTAATTTGAAGAGTATAATGAAAGAAACGACAGCTATAAGAAGTATTCTTTGATAAATCACTTACAACTAATAGTGCAGGGTATCTACGAATGAGAAACTAATCTCTACTTTAATAGTTTATCTTAAATAAGTTTTGGACACGTACAATCGAGACGTTTCCGCAGCACGCACCACGCTAAGGCTGCATTTCCGGAACATTATAAAATTCAGCAAAATTTATAAAATAATATAATTATTTAAAAAAAAAAGTGTTCATATTGTTTATTAACACTTTCGTAACATTAAGCGTATCACAGATAAGGGTGCCATAACTATATATATATATATATATATATAATATACATATATATATATGTAGATGTATATATATATATATATATATATATATATATATATATATATATATATATATATATATACATTTACATATATATATATATATATATATATATATATATATATATATATATATATATATATATATATATATATATATGTAAATGTATATTTTGAAAGCAATCTAAATATAATATAGCTCCCAAACAAATCACATAGATTATTTTCAGTTATCGACACCCTTTGTGCACAGTAATAATGGTGCGAACACATTATAGCTGTATATATAAGCATCAGTGATGCAGCTACATAAATAAACATATTTTGATCCATGAGAGTATCGTTAAGTAATCACAGTTTATAAATTTCAATTAGTAATAGTTTACTTTCACAAATTAAATTTAATATATCTGAAAACCTGACAAATATTATTCCGACAATATGTTAATACAAGCATCACTGATAAATATAAAGAAAGTTTATATTTAACAGCATTGGTATTATAATATAAAATAAACAGTTTCAAAGTTTTTGGTTATTTACAAAATAAATTAGTTCGATAAATATTTATAAATCAGGCATAACTCACCGGGAGAAAGAAAATTGGGATCTATAGTTTTAGTTGTAACATTACATTCCTCCAATTCCTGATACATTGTAAGATGAGACCAAAGAGCACTTTTGCCCTGTTTATTTTGTAATCCATGACTCCATATCCTTTCCAATAAATCACAGAGGCTAGCTACTAATGTATTTTCTTCCACGTCAGAGAGAGATTCACTCGCATGCCCAAGAGCAACAGCTTCAGAGCCCATTTTTTCGACTAACATTCTTTTGGTTTTAGATTTACAATCCTTATCATCAACGCAAGGTAATATATATATATATAAGTATATAAGATAATCTTAACTGGTATTGTGGGTAACAAATGGTATATTTTTTTTTTTTTACCTTAAGCAATTTTTCAACGAAAGTCCAATTGGCTTGCGCTATTAGTGCTGGACTCATATCCGCAGAGAGCTTTGTTTGTGGTCGTGGAGATTGAGATTCTTGAGGTACCGCTGTTTTACCATTTGACTCCATAGATTTCATTTTATATTTCCACTGTGTCTGTCCTTTTCTACTACTGCAGATAAAAGTGTTTCTAAATTAATCACATTTACAATACAAATGTTAAATATAAAAAAGAAAAAAAACGATGACAAAATAGATTCTTATAAAGACGTGTGTATCGAATAAAAAATATTACATACACTTATAAAATTAATTTCTTACCGAAGCATACTATCGGAATAGCATAAAAATAAAAGCAATGATAATTAATAATCTTATTTACCTAATACTGAAGTAGTCATAAATTGTGATATTCTCATTTATGTAAAATTTACCTTTGAGCAGGTTCTTTGTTTAACGCGACCGTATCTAGTAAAGGAAAACTCCTGAAATATGCAGCTCTATGTGGAACAATCTCTGTTGGTGGATTGGTTTCAAAATCTACGTTGGTTAATCTCTGTTCCAAAACTTTTTGTGTTTCAGTCATGCTCGTGCATGTCTCGTAACGTGTCGATCTTATAATAGTTTCACCAACTTTTTTTCTATAACGAACGAAATACGCATATAAATCTAACCATATAAATTTCAAAAGAGATATTAGAAAAGTTTCGACAAAGGTGACTTACTTTAAAAATGTAATTCTATCGTCAAAAACTTTGATATTATAATCGAGTTCGCTCCACGTTGACATAACTTTACTATCAACCAAGGAAGCAAACATTTGTGTTTCTAAAAACCTTGATAAAAATGGTAGATGTTGCGCAGGTTGATCGGATAAAAATGTTGCTTTATCAAAGACATGCATACTGTCTCTATTATTCAACCATTCGTCTTTATCTTGACTTGGTAGAATAACAAAATGTTCATAACTACAAAACATTTGTACAAAACGATTCAAAAAAATCTCTCTAATGGCATTATTAAAAATGAGAGTTTCTTGATATTCCTCTTGGGGAGTGAGTATTTTTTCATTAATAGTATCATCCACAGAATCAATATCATCTACATTTACACCTATGAATATACATAACGAAATATAATTAATATTGTACGTTAAAAGCGGATAATTTATCAAGTTACTTCAATTCTATTTTTACCTGTTCTCTTAACTATATCAACAATTCGTTGAAAAGCATCTGTTTGGGGTGTGGAATCAGGTCTGTCCCAATCTAAAACATCATGTAACGAATGCTTTCTACGTGGAAGGTGAAATCCAGAACCAGGAAGAGTCAAGCTGCTAGTCATAATGTCACCATTGACATAGTTTATGAACATATTATCAGTCCTATAAAATATTTTATCCTTACAAAATATGAAACGGTGACTAATTATTAATAACCATAGAAAAGTGCGAACGTGAAAAATACTGACGTACTTTCCCGTTTGTGGTACTTTGTACTTATTTAAAAGTGCTCTAATCTCAGCAATAAACTGCATCTTATGTGGGAATACAGGTAACTCCTCCGGGAATTGGCTACTTTGCTTATCTATATCTACATAACAAAGATTTGCCTGTAAATCAAAGAATAATCATTTTCACGTGATTTTTCCCTTTTATCATTTTTAATAGAGAAATACAAGAAATAGTTTTATAGCGAAGCATATAACTCATACTCACTTCGCTAGCAATTTTTAATACACCACCTTCGCTCTGAGCATGCAATCCCATTATAAATGGAACTGGTGCATCTAAGAAATGATGTAGACTGGCTGGCAATATAGGTACGTAAACGTGCTGCCACGAAAAGGGAAACAAAAGGGCGGTTATACACTCGGATACTACCATCAGTTTGTTAAAGTCCGAACTTCTGAGTAAAACTTGATTCTCCAAAAGGACGCAAGTGAACAACTGTATAACGCAATCGGCTCCCAGCCATGTAAATACATCTTTCAAAGGATAATCCAACATTGGTAATTCTTGCGATGGCATAGGCTGATGTATAACCAATTCTAAGGGAACTTTAGCTGGTTCATCGTTTGGTATAAAAAATTTTAATGATTTTCCAGGTAATGGTACTGGTACATTGTACAAAAGATTGTACACGTATGATTCTAAACTAAGGCCAGGTCCTGGATGCCTAGGAACACACCTGGAAAAATTTTGTAAACAAATTTAATATTATCATTTCAATGGTACTATTGTATTGGAAATTATATATAAAAAAAAAAAGAAAAAAAAAGGTACTTGTATAGATTGGTCAGGAACGTTCTGGCCGCGTGAAGATAGGGCTGTTGACAGAGCAAAGAAATTGACTTGGTCACTAATAATTTATCTTTGGTTGAATCGTAATAAGCTAATGCTGCACTCGGGGAATGTGCTGACAATTTAAAATGACGTGGCAAGGATCTAGTATTGTGTCCCTCCTGACCTTTTCTCGCCCTGAAATGAAAAATAATTTTTGTCTTATTTTTTCTTTTTCTTTTATTTTTTAATATTCTACAATTTCTCGAATACTTATTATTAATATCCGTGAAATGTTATGAACCATGAAAGAACTCACGTTGGCGGTGTACCGTTCTGACCACTACTTAATTCTGTGATATGCATCGCTTGCAACGTTTGCATAGCAGCGCATATCTTACGATTACGACACTCTTCGTAGAATACCAGACTGAAACCGTACGTCCTGTGGCCATCTTCTTTGGTCAGGACAAACGAATGAAACGTCGGCTCGACTGAATGTTTCTGTGTTCGAAATCTCAGACCGCTTGGTAGGCAAAGCTAAAAAAAATTATTAATATTACTATTATTATTATTATTATTATTATTATTATTATTATTATTATTATTATTATTATTTTATTATTAATTTTCTTCGTAATGCTTCATTATTATTTTTCTTGTAAAATAAAATGTAACGTACCATACAAACTGCATGCTCGTCGAATGGATTCCATGGTACTGAGTCCGGATAATGTCCTAAAACTTTGCTCTTGTATGCTCGATCCAGAGGTGTACATTGTAAAGAATCTCCTACAATAAAAGGAACAAACAATTATTATAATATTTATTTGAAGTATATAGCAATATTTAGATGCATATGTTTTTTTTATGTATCTTTTAATTTTAAATGCCATATATAAAAGTAACCTAAAATAAAAATATTTTATATATATATATATATATATATATATATAAAATGTTTATTTAACTCGTATCACATAATATTTAAACGTATATATTTATTACGAATCTTTTAATTTCCATTCTAATTCTTATAAATAAAAAGCAACTTGAAATAACAAACAAATTCTTTTTTTTATACATAATATGAAAATAATAATAATAATAAAAATGAGATAATAATATACGACTTTTCTTTTCGTACTGAAACTCGTTAAAATATCGGGTTCGAGCGTATCGCTTTGAAATTTTGAAATAAAATTGACAACGTGATGAAACTGCAAGAGAGGGAAAAAAAATGCATCGAAGTATTTCCACTTAGCAAACAACGGTCCACTGACTAGACAAGAGCTACTACTTAACGACGAGTCAGAAGAGACCCTGACCCGATTACAAAATTTTTAAATGTGTTTTTAAATAAAATGAATGTGATCTCTCTATCTCTCTATCTCTTTCTCTCTCTCTATCTCTTTCTCTCTCTCTCTATATATATATATGCGCGCGCACACGCATACACAATACATACTCCTTTCAAGCTTCGTTTACATCCCTTATTTTCATCTCGAAAGTTAGAATACCGACACAAACAAAACGAGAAACTTCTCCTTCGTCTTTATGATGCGCATACCATTACGCCATTATTACTATATTACTACTATAGACAAAATCATTACTACGCGAGATAAAAGAATATTATTAAAAAAAATAATATTTGAATTTCAATTGAATTTCAAAAAAAAAGTTTATTCAACATTCTTTCGCTCTATCTTTTCTCTTTACTCTTTTTTCTTTCATTAATTTTTTCTCCATTAAAATTTAATGAAAGGAAAAAAAATAATATTCAAACGTCTTAATGAGACAACTTCATTAGTAAAATAGTAAATTAAATGTTTTGTACAATTCGCGCCAAAATACAAATCGATTAGAAATTATCTTCACGGCACTTCCTACAGTTGGGTAAATTGTTTATATATATTATATATATATATATGTGTGTGTAAATGGATATATGTACATACGTTCGTGCTTATATTATGTATTTTGATTGGATACAAATTCGTTGACTAATATCGAAGTATGTATATACTCGCGTTTCGAGCTTCATATCCTTTAACGCATTATCATTCGGCCAAGATATAAACTCTCACGCTCGTACACCATCCGAGAATATTCTCCTCGTAACTCCGGAAAATTACTGTCTAGTAAAAGCTGCCGTAGTCATATATATCCATACATACATATATACGTATACATATGCATAGGTTATTGCCGTGAACGCAAGCATATCGAGTTATTACAAGATATATTGATAAAGTGATACAGTTACATTCCCGAAAGTGTGCATAAATATACAATTTATGTTTCGATTTTTCGATATGAACATCGAATGAAATAGTATTTTCAAATGAGCAGAAACAAAATGGAATAATTCAAAATTTATTATACGTACTTCGTCGGTAAGAAAAAATTCAAATTACGCGGGCTTTGTGATCGTTAAGTAAGTGAATAGTATCATTAAGTGCAATTCAAATTTCGCGGGCTTTGCAGTTAAGGATCAAGGATGGGGAGGAGAGAGAGAGAGAGAAAGAGATGGAGGGAGGAAAAGGCGGAGGGGGAGAGGGGAGAGAGTATAAGAAGGAGAGAGATCATAAAGAAAAATTTATTTTCCGCGGGCTTTGTGATTAGGAAGCAAGGGATAAGTTAAAGTAAGTTATCATTGAACATTATAATAAAAAAAGAGACACATAAATATGTTCCTATAAAAATAATGATTCGATTGTATAAAATGTGAACAAAAAAATAAATTTTCGATGTTGATTTTGTGTAATAAAAAAAGAAAAGAAAAAAGAAATATTCAAATTTCGCGGGGTTTGTGGTTAAGGAGTAAGGGCTACGGCAAGTTGTTATTGAACGTGGTACATATCCCCGAGGCTCGACCTGAATGAGACTGTTGACGTCTTGGCAAGCTTCCAAGCTGCCGCAGAGTACCTCGCGCTCGGCGAATACAAGAGCACTTCTGTATACGAGGTTAATCGTTCGCGATAGAAGGGAGGGTGGTTACCCCTCTTTGCTTCCGAGAGAGATACCTCGATTTCTCTTTTTCTTTCTCCCTTTCTCCTTTCCTTTCTCTCTCCCTTTCTCCTTTCCTTTCTCTCCCCTTTATGATGATGACGAAGACGATCGTTGTTCTTACTGTTTTTCCTTCTTGGATCAACTTTCCCCTACCTAACCTCAAACAAAATAACCCCAGAAATATTTTATTCTCATGGTAAAATTCTTTTCTACCTCTCTCCTCTAGACAATGATGTGATTATATCTCTTCGATTTCATTGCTCTTTTCTCCCTCTCCCTCTCCCTCTCCACCTCCCCCTCTCTCATTTTTTTTTTCTTTTCATTATATATCAGTATCTGATATATACATATTTATGAATCTTCCTACTTTACGATACATAAAACAAAACAAAAAAATATAGCAACATGGAATAATATTCTATTAACGGATCAGAAACAAACAATTCCTCGTATAATTTTATCGTTACACTTCGTAGATTATAAATACACGTTTGTATCATTAAACAATACTGTTTTACGGTTTTCATTTTAACGTTAAAAATATAACGGGTTTATTGTTATCTTTCACGAAGATGTTACTATTTTTTTGTCAAAAAGTGTTCTCGATTTAGTGAGTGAAAAGTAAATGTGTGTGTAGTTTCGTTTATTACGATGACTTTGGAGGAAAATCTCAAAGCTTCAGTCGTGTTGTTGCGCCTTTAAAAAGATTTTTAAAAGAAAGAGAGAAAGAGAGAAAGAGAGAGAGAGAGAGAGAGAGAGAGAGAGAGAGAGAGAGAGAGAGAGAGAGAGAGAGAGAGCAATTGGAAGAGTTGCTGCTAGAGTAGCCTACTTTTTCAAAAATACTACACGTGTGCTGGTCGGTAAACTGAGAAGGAAGAGATCGCAAACCGAGAGATATGCTGAGTTTCTGGGAAACCGTAATGAAAGAAACCCCTGTGCTGAAGCGTCTCGTCTTTGTGCACGGTTCGCTGTAATGAGCTATACCTCTCGCATGGATGACGTCTTTGTGTGAGATACGATGCGTTTTGTTATCACAAAAAAAAAAAAAAAGAAAAAAAAAAAGAGGAAAAAAAAGATTGGAACGTAATCTCTTTTTTTCGTCCATTTTTGTGTAATCCTTAAAGGTCCGTGTCATGGATCAGTAATGTTAAGCTTAAACGAGAATTTTCTTTTAATATTGATAAAATTAATCCCTGACTGATAACACTGACATTATTTTTTCTTTGTACGTGTAAATATTTACATGATATATACTATGACAGTAAAAACGAATTTCTACAATATTAAATAATAATATAAACTTTGTATAGCATTCATTCGGTTATATATATATATATATATATATATATATATATATATATATATAACTAATAAAGTCTAATCATAAATCAAATTTCTGATATCCTTTTTTTGTTTTTTTTTTTAAATTTGTTTCATAAGGTTGAAGAACAAAAAACTATTATTATAATTCATTGATTCATGTATGTATATATCTATGTACTTACATAAATTCTAATCGAAAGAGCACTATACGAGATGAATTCTAATTGAGCACCTTTAATCGAAGTTATCGACGGTTCCTCGGGTCAATCTCCGTTTGAAAATTGTGTTCAGGATGAAACGGTGATAAACGGATGAAGCGAACTAACTCGGTCGTTATCGAAATTATCGTTTTGCTCTCATTTACGTAACAGAGAGACAACCAGGGAGGAAGAGAGAGAGAGAGAGAGAGAGAGAGAGAGAGAGAGAGAGAGAGAGAGAGAGAGAGAGAGAGAGAGAGGAAGAGAGGGGGGAGAGAGTAAAAGAGAAACTCTCATTGGGGATCTCGTAACTGGTACAGAAAAACACATATATTCATTAATGTTGATAATAATCTTCACGATTGAATAAAATTATGCAGCGAATTTCATGAATTATTTTATTTGAAAGAAGAAAGGAGAAAAACAAAATGGAGAACGAATTTCACCGACCGCGAAATCTCGATGTTTTATTTTTTAATAAAATACTATTACTAATAAATCGATATATATATATATATATATATATATATATATATATATGTATAATAGTTTATTATTAATTTAAAAAATTTAATTTCTCTCGAACGATAAAAAGAACTTTTTGAAGATTTCTGATCATTCCTCTTTTTTTTTCTTTTTTCTTTTTTTTTTCTATTTCTTTTATTAATAGTCTTTTATTACTACTTTGTTCTAAGAGTCCAAGCGCGGGCAATTTGAATGCCGCGCGTCCTCGTCGAGAAGAAATTATGGACCTTAGCGTCGTCAATGCGTTTAATTGAGCGGACAAAATTGCGACGAGAATTTCTTCAGCCGGTTAAGTTAAACGACCGTCGCCCATAGTTGTTCCCCAAAGGAAACATCGTATCGCATCACGAATTATTTCAAAGCGAATAAAACTTTATTTATATTCTTTTTATAATACTGATAAATATAAGTCAAGTTGGAAAAAGAAATGGTGAAGAAAAAAAGTTTTCGATCGAAATATAAATTCTTTTTCTTCTTTTATTAATTTCTTTTCGGAATAAGTATTCCTTTTCCCAGCGGACACCATAGAGGTAGAGAGGAAAAAAAAAAAGGAAATAAATCATTCGAAGTAAAATTTTCTCACGGTACAATCGAAAGAGAAGATTTTCCTGAAGGTTTCTTGGCTTAGTAGCCAAGAGATATTCTAAAGGATGAAGAAAAGGTTCGCATAAAGGGCTCTTAGATGTGGAAAAGCAACGATAAACGGCCGATGAACGAACGAGCGACCCTATG